ATGCAGCTGCAAGAACTGCTTTGCTTGTTATAAAACTGGATCTGACCAGTTTCGGTTGACAGCCCTTGGTTTTTAAACTGGAAGAGATCGTAAATGCTCAATTCTTGACTGTCCTCTCCATGGCATGCATATTTGTATAGACATTTACCAGACCATCTTAAAGTCATCTTTCTTCCAGGCCAGAGTCCTTGCCTGCTCCATTATTTCTTATGTAGAAGCTATTCCCTAGTGTTTATCGTTGTTGTTGCTCTTCTCTAGCACCTTTTCAGGAGCACTTATGAATCGAACAAATAATAGTGACAACAGAAAACCCCAAACGTGCACTGTGTATTTGCGCGAGGGACGGGGAGAGGAGGATAGAGGAAATATTTTCTGTCTAATAATTGTGGTCAAAAGCAGAAAGTAATTTTTAAAGGAAATTTAGGATTAGCATTATCAGTTATTGACAAATACTGCTTTAGAGCTTTTAAGTGAAGGAAAACTGCTGTAAAGCTGCAGGGGTAGAAATATCCCCTCAAGCTACGTAATCCATTTGGTGTTCAGCACTGTCAGCCCTACGCTTCTGGAAGGTATGGGAAATATAAAGACTTTTTTCTTTTTTTAATTGCTCTCTAATGATTAGAGACCCAGGATAATACTCCTTCTAAGAGCTCAAGTTTCTCTTTTATATTAAAGGTCTACTGGCAGTGATTATTGGTATCTAAGATACCTTGATGCAACTTGCTGTGGTGCCTTTGGGTGTGGCGCAGGCATAATCCATGTTCTCAGGGATGAGGAGAGTGTTTGTGCAAGAGGTTCCTCATCATCCTGCCCCTAATTTTTATTTATTCTTTTGGTGTGTCAATGCTATGACAGAGTTTCTGTGTGCACAGCCATCCCTTCTTTCATTATGTGTACATATCCCTTGCAATGAGCCTTGAATCAATGTTCTCAGATACAATTCTGTGCTCCTGTTCTTCTGAAAGAGATGTGAAGTCCATCTCCTTCCCAAAGAGTAAGAGTTTGGCACTTTCTGAAATGAGGCATCTTCAAAGTATTTCAAAGGAGGCACCTGAAATGACCAGTCGTGTCTGGAAAACCCAAGCTCTGAGCTCTTCCTGTCTCCCCATGGAAAGGTCAGATCTTGCCATAGTCAGCTGACATTGCTGGGAGGGTGCAGATTTTGCAAAGACAAAGTGAGCTATGGTTCTTTTGGGTGAGATGCCTGGCTGGCGGGGATGCTCAACGTTCCTTTCTTGCTGGTAAATCGAATGGAGAGGCATTAAAGTCCTGGCTGTGATATGATGAGGGAGATGCAAATGGCCGGGTGACTCTGACATAGCGTTTCTCACTTGCCTTCACCTGATGTTCAGAGCCACTTTACGTGTCACCAGCTGTGGCCCTGGAGCCTGCTGGGTGGGCTGATGTAAGGGAGGTGCAGGAACTGGGCATCTGCAGCTGCCTGGGTCCCGCACGGTCCCTTTGCTACATGACCTTGAGTCTAATGGCCCGACTGCACCATTCCATCTTGCCCTTGCCTCCTTCTCTTTCCCCCACGCACCTCCTGTCTCCCAAACACGGCCTGGGAGATGGGTAAGCCAGTGGAAGCGTGGAGAGCTGCCTGGCTGTTGTTTGCCTTGCTCTTAGCTCAAAAGGCCAGTGACAATAGCCCTCATCTGTAGGGGATAAGGATCAAGGAACACTTCCTCCTTATCGCAGGGGATTTGCTGCCTTTTGGAAGAAAAAAACAGATGCACAAACCTATCATTTCTTATTAATTTTAAAGTAGCTCTTGGCTCGCTACCTCCTTCGTATCAGCCCTTGCATTGTCAGTAAATTATATTGGATCTGCAATTAAAAGCCAGCTGTGCCAGTGAAGTACCAGCCAAATGCCGCCCTAACCGTCTCTTGGGTGTCCTAGGGGAGGTGTGGAGCACACAGCTCCTCCTCCGGTGAGCTCTTCTCTCACTTCAAGAGGGAAAGATAAGAGTTTAAAATGGGATCTCAGGCGCATTGTTTTTGTTAATCAGAACACTTGCTCACTAAGAAATGCAGTTCTTTTCTTGATGCTGCATATTCGTGGATACAGCAATTCCCAGAGCATGAAAGCTGCCAAACACTCTTCACCGTGCAAAAGTTAACTGTTTGAGGAGCAGACTTGTAGTTGTGGATGTCTGTCTCAGGCTAATTGTTTTTCTCCTTCCTTTTCTCAGTTAAAATGATTTATTGGAGAAGTATCTTTGCTTCTGCTGTGTGGGTTTTTTTCCTAAGTGTTGAAAAGCATTTGCACCCGTTTGTGTTGGAGCAGGAGTTTGGGGCTAGGCAGGAGGAACAGCACTGCAGATGTGCCGCTCCTGGCCCCTCTGGAGATCCACCCCGTTGAACCAACTGCTGAGCCTTTGTGTCTCACCTCTCCGAGGCTGAACGGCAATGTGCTGCAAGTTGTGGCAAAACCTCGACTCTTTTGTCTTCCTTCCACGCTGGAGCTGGGCAGGGTTTTTCCTGCACCAGCTTTTCCTGCACCGGCTTCTCCTATCCTTCAGCTGCTTAGGCTCCTGGAGCCAGAACGGGAAGCAGGGAGCTCTTTGGCTCTTACTCCTCTCGCTTTTGGCTGGGTCAGGAAGGTGCAGCAATCCAGTGCAAGAGGGAGTAAGAGAGGAGGAATGTAGAAAGCAGGTCTTTTCCGAACCTGGGTTAGGACTCCAGGTTGCAGGGTTATAGGCATGGCTCCAAAATCCAATGGCAAGGGAAAAAGGAAGCCCACGTTAGCGCTGGCCATGAGGGCAGTGGGCTTTGACATCTAACAAAAGGCTGCAAGTATCAGGGTGCAGAGATCTGTGCTGTGGGTCCCCGGGGTCGTGATCTTGCCAATGCGCTTTGGAAGGACCAATACATGTCTCTGATGAAACAGTGTTTTTTAACTGGATAGTTGGGAAAACTCCTCAAAGAGTTCCTACGTAAAAACAAGAGCACTGCGTTAAAAGTCTGCAAAACAGGGCTCTGCACTCAGCGGAGAGATACCTGAATGAGCGTTATGTGTGCAACTTCTAATTCCTGCCGCTGCACGTTCGCCTTGTGGCGCAATGTCAGTTGTGTCGTTGCGTGCGGGCTAGCTGTAAGCTGTAGTGAGGCTGCACGTGCTTACAGAAATTGTGTTACGAGCTGCCTTTAGCTGTGCAATAAAGATCTCGTCCTTCCTGCTGCTTTAAAAACAGTTCTTCACTTCAAAGGCTGTAGTATTTGCTTTGTCCTTTGGCCTTTATGGGGTGAGAGTAGAGTCTGTCTGCACCTTAGATCTTAGTTGTCTCTAGCAGTATCTTTCCCCAGGATGAAGAGATCGGTGCAGCAAACGGTGGGGGAGTGTTTGCCTCTGTTGTTTCAAACATGTTTTTTCTCCCTGTTTGTTTCAAACATGCTAGCTTTCCCTGTCCTCCCCTTAAATCACATTAATTCATAAAGAGTAAAAAGAAACATGATTTGGAGCAGCAGCGAGCTGAGCCCAAGTTAATAGTTTGAATTGCGTTCCATCTGTTCAGCTGCGTGGCCTGATGGATATGCTGAACCCATTTTTCACAATTTGTTTTAAGCTGGTAAGAACCATCTCTCCTGGCTACGGTCCAGGCTGGCTGCGGAGAAAAACTTTGTATCGGGACATCCATGTCCGGAGGACGGGATTGAGTCAGTCATCCCTAGATGCCAGGGTACCTCTTCCACCTGCAAGTTGCTAGTTTTTGAAAGGTTAAATTCTTCTCTGGACTTGAACATTGTTGTCAAAAATTGAAGGGGAGGGGGGAAACTCCAACATGCACTCGTACACAGAGGATGAAATTTGCAAACGTGATTATGCAGGACCTGCTTTAAATCGGCTTATTGCCGTTTTATGATGGCAAGCGAGCAGTCACAGAAGCCGGGGTGATTGGCCTCACCATGTGCACATGCTGCTGGTAACTCAGTAACCGACGAACACCCACCGTGGTCTCCAGACCTCGAGCCTTTGATGTAGCAACAAACAAGATAGATTGCTGTAATTTATCTGGTCCCTGGAGGGCTGTGCTGGTAATGTGCCATGAGCCCAAGGGCCAGCCGTCCGTAATCTGTGTAAAAATACAGCAGGTCGCAGTCACCGTGCTGCAGGATTGTCTTTGTTCTGTGCTGCAAGAGTTTGGTGTGTACAGCACATGGTACTGGGTCTTGATTTCCAGCAGCCAGGGGCTGTAAGTCTAGGTGTAATATGCCCACTCCCTCCATTAACTTCAATTGTTTTTGTTATGTACTAAATATACTCCTTTTGAACAGACTTGGGAAGGCAGTGCCAGAAACATGGTATTTCCCCGTATGCCTTTACAGGTGTAACGGAGAGACTGGAGAAGGCGTGCTGGGTTTGGGGGGAAAAAGGATGGGATTTTGTACCAGCTGAAGGCTCCGGAGGGTTTGCTGATGGAGGACAAGTGCTTGTGTCATTGCAGTTGGGTGGCCTGGAAACTCAACTAGAGGGAGTGTAGCCTCTTGGCTTGCACATGGGCCTCTCTCCTGGTGAAAGACAGTCCCGGTTGGGCTGTACCAGGAGAAAAGGGAGTAGCTGCTGAACTGGCGAGCCCCAGCAGTGGCTCCTTGGCTGCCTGTGTGCGCTGGAGTTCTGCAGAGCGGCTGCGTGCCACCTCCTAGTGCTCTCTGGCAGCAACTTGTGCCTGGGATTGCGGGTGATGGGGTTGGAAAATAAGGGTAGTGCTGAAAACAAAGCCCTGTCAGCTTGAGTTTCTGCTTTGTTGCTGTGCAGTGCAGTACATTTTTGTGCCTGGATTCTTATCGCTACCAAAGAAGGATTTTACATTATCTCAGCATTGCTTTTTTCATGGGGTGCTTTAAAAAACACTTCCCTTGAGTCAGCAAGAAAGCTGCAATGTGGCTGGGGCTTTTGTCTTGCCAAGCATGGCCATGGAAGGGGTAGGACGGGTGCGTGTTGGAGGGAGGCTCCAGGGCTGCCTGTTGGGAAGTAATGCTGAGCTCCTCTCGTCCTGCAGGCATGGCCTTGGCCCAGCGGCAAGTGGCGGTGCAGGAGGGACCCCTCTACCGCACGGAGGGCTCCCACGTCACACTGTGGTGCAAGGTGAGCGGCTACCAGGGCCCGGCGGAGCAGAACTTCCAGTGGTCCGTCTACCTGCCCTCGGCTCCTGAGCGAGAGGTGCAGATCGTCAGCACCGTCGACCCCTCCTTCCCCTACGCCATCTACACCCAGCGTGTGCGCAGCCGGGGCATCTACGTGGAGCGGGTGCAGGGGGACGCCGTCCTGCTGCACATCACCGAGCTGCAGGACCG